CATCATTAGTAGGCCAACGATCCTAGTTGAATCTTGGTCTCCCTTTTGAAAATTCTCCACGTATCTCTGTCGTTTGCTATCATTCTCCAGTTTCTTCTTCCCAGCTGTTGTGCTGTTTGATTCACATTGTTTATGCAGCGTAAACTCGGATATATATTCCCTAAAACTTAAACTACGAGGGCTGCTATATGTATTTCTGGCCTAGGCAACATTAAGTGTTGCCAGGTACAATCTAACATTTCCATTGGAAAGGTTGACATTTTTTAGCTAACATCACTCAGAACGTGTTGTCATTTTACTGTGAATTGTTTTATTTACAGAGACTTGAAAAATTCATCTCGGCTAAAAAATGAAATTAACACGTGAACATTTTTCAGCGATCACGACAAGAGTGCATTGATGAACTTAAATCTTTGTATGACGATGAAGCACCATCCTATAGTACTGTGAAAAACTGTTTTAATGAATTCAATCGTGGCCGACGCTCGCTCCGGCGAATTCCGTGAAGGTCGTCCAAAAACGACCGTTGTGCCAGAGAACATTGAGGCCGTGCACGAACTGATAATGCAAGATCATCATGTGACATACCGTGAAATAGAGGCATCCTTGGGCATTTCTCCCACCAGCATACATTCGATATTGCATCAACAGCTGGCCGTAAAAAAGGTTTGTTCTCGTTGGATCCCGCACAATTTGACATTCGCTTAAAGAAAGGCTCGTGTCGACTGGTGCATAAAAATGTTGAAAAAATACGTTCGCGTTTCTTCAAAAGACATTTATAAGGCCGAAATAAAACAACAATCGACTGTGTGAGTTTTCGAAGACGAGTCAAATCCAACGAAAGTTGTTCGTGGAAGAAGCATTTTGAAGCAAATGGTCGCTTGTTTCTTCGTCAAAACTGGTCATGTGGCGACTGTTCCGCTTGAGCAACGAAGGACGGTCACTTCTGAGTGGTACATCACATTTTGTTTACCTGAAGTCTTCTGAGAAATTTGAAAAACGAACAAGAGAAGAGAATCATTGTTCACCATGACAACGCGAGCTCTCACACATCGGCTCAAACTAGCGCCTTTTTGACCGGCCAAAACGAAGAATTGATGGATCATCCGCCGTACAGCCCTGACTTGGCACCTAATGACTTCTTTTTATTCTCGTTGACCCGCACATCAAGAAAAAAATGAGTGGTCAACGATTTTCGTCGCTAGAAGATGCTGTTGAAGCGTTCAAAAACCATGTTTTGGAGGTGTCTCAATCGGAGTGGAAAAGTTGCTTCGACAATTGGTTTGAGCGCACGCAAAAGTGTATAAATCAGGCTGGAGAATACTTTGAAAAACAATAAAACAGTTTTTGATGATAAATATTCGCATTTTCATTATTAGGCCGGAAATATCTATAACAGCCCTCGTGTTAAACACAGTCTAATAATAGAAGTGGAAAATTTTACCATCACCAAAATGTACATAATGGTCGAAATTCTTCTGTTTAGTGTTCTCAACCCAGGCTGTATACCTTTTTACCTCCGATGGGCTCACTAATCCTTGCTTTGACAATTCCACATTAGCTGAAGTTACAGCTTCCTTAATTCGTAACTAAAGATTTCAATGAATATTTGAACCTATCGAATATTTTCCAACGAATTAGCATACGCGATTAAACTCAAGTAAGAGCATGCATATTACCTTCTTTTCACAGACACGCTTGCTCTTCTTCATTTATTTTAAATGGTGATAAAGGAAAATTTATCTATGTACTTTATTGATGACATGTTTGGTGGAAGTACGTTGAGTCTTAACCTACCTAAATGGATCTTAAATAAACTAAAAGCGAAAGTTACTGGAAAAATTATTAACCTGAATATCTATTGGAGTTTTCATGATTATCTACTTCTTTAAGTAATTGTTAAAAGTATAAGAGTATTCTAAAGATTATGTTATATATCAAAGGCAAAATAATTGATAATAATAATGCAGTGTCATCGGAAAGTCTATAGTTTAAGTAATATAAAGTACTAAAGCATGACAAGAACGTTATGGACGAGAACATTTTAACTAACGAGATTATTTTTACATGGCCTCTTAATCTTCCATAACTCTAAATTGATTTAATTGTCTTTATAACTGAAATAGAACAATCAAAAATCCGTATTCCAAAATTAAGAACATCACACTGTGTCAAAACCAGCTTTTAATAGTGCAATGCCAGTCTATTTTTAGATATGTAAATCGGATTTGATAAGATTTTTTAATTGAACCAAAGGCGGTGTAGTATTTGATTCTCTGTCTGAAACCATATTTATACAATCATATTGATTGTTAGAAATAAGTTTGGATGGTGGTTTATTTGTTTCTGCAACAAAATTCTTTTTTAATTGCAGATTTCCTCCAATGCTTCTGAGATAATATATAGCCTATTAGATAATACTAATAAATGAATTAATGAAGACAAGGCATCAAACCCTTGATTATGTTGATGAGCAAAAATATTATGGTTTGATGCAAGGTGCTTTATTACATCAAATAAGAATCATAATTCACTTTTTCCTGATATATTACACCCCACTTATTTTCATTTTTTTATGATAGGTATCCCATCAGACTTCTAATCAATTTTTGATCTTAAAAAGAGAATTGTCTTCATCCAGTGTATGGAAAAGTCTGCTATATGACTTTTTCGTGACTTTTTTGATTTCTAATCGGATAAAAAAATTCAACTTCTGAATTAGATTAGATTTTGTTATAACTAATTTTGGGTAAAGGCTTCAGAAGTTTATGAAGACCGATTGTGGGCACGCTAACTTAAACCACTAAAAGAACGAAAGATTTGAAATATAATATTTTATATTATTCTCTATTTTAATTAATATTTTTATAGAATTCGAACTTGTGTTTTCAATGTTATTATAAAAGAGTACAGAAAACCGAGTTTGCATTTTTCATAAAAGTGTTTTTATAAGAAGATATTTCGAGTTAAAATCATATAAGGCTAATTGGTGAGATAGGAATTGTAAAAACTTTATTTCTCATTAAATAAAATTGCTAACCAAATTTTGATATCATATATTTTAGTTCTGATTTTAAAGCATCTTCACTTTAAAGTTCATTTCCTTACCAGACAGCATACAAAAGAATACGCAGATAATGGACGTCCATAAATGCTTAAGTTCTGCTCATAGTCCACAATACGTTAATTTTAAAAATATTGGTATGCAGTTTTACTTATATAACAATAAAAATAAAATGTGGAAATAACAACAAAGATTATTATTATTATTCTTAAGGGATGAGGCGTTGCGATCATCGGGTCTATTGCGTTCCCTTCTGGGTTTAGAGTAGGTCTCTTAGCCCTGTTGCGTTAACAAAAAGTAGTATAGAACCTACTTTACAGAGTTTTATTGCCTCTTCCGTTTGTGTATTAGCACAGGGAATAACCAAGACACATACTTGTTTTTTCGATTCAGTGTCCATACTGTTGGAGAATTATAGACTTATTTCTGCTCAACTAATTCCAAAGTCATACAGTTTAAAGTCAAAATGAATTCAAGTTTCTTGGCAAAACTAAGAGAACTGCGTTAATTGCATACTTCGGCGAGCAGCGGATTCCCAGGGTTGTGTTTGTATTACTACAAACATAACGGATTTGTACCCGTTAAGATCTTATTCTAATTATATCATTATTAGTGAGATTAAGAATTTGTAGAAAAGAGATTAATATAATTATTATATCCAGCAGAAAGTTAGTAGACTTTCCATTATGTGGGTTAAACTTGGCCAGTACAAAACAAATAACTAAGGAGAGGAAGAAAAACATTCTTAAATTCTCAAAAGGTAATTCAAGTTTGATAATGGGTTTTATTACGGATCATTATAGTCTGAAATATCACCTACATAAACTTCGGTTATCTGCTAATTCGAAACGCAGATAACGCTTCGAAGATGAGGAAACAACTATGCATATTTTTCGAACTTATTTCATATGAAATTTCTGTCACCAGAATAGATGAAAAGCTATTCTCCAGATTTAGTTCTGTACTTTGTTCAGAAAGCGTTAAGCCCTTTATGTAATTAAAAGTGAATTTGATACAATACGATTCCGAAGTACTGGCTATTGGGTATTTCACCACAATAGTTTTAATAAATATATAAATAGTACACTCTCGGGAGTGTACTATCCAGGGACTCCAAAAAGAATCAAAAAGGTAAAAATACATGATTTCACTATTCTTCCACTAAGAAGTCTAAAAATTTAGCCTAAAAATGAAATGTATTCAACTTTAGTAGTTTTGATGGCACCACTCTGATCACTGGTGGTTGATACAATACTGAATATATCTGATATTTATTTGATATTCTAGAAAAAGAGATTTATCAAAGTTTTACAATTTATGATATTTATCATGTCGTTTTGTGTCCATCATCAAAAAATAAATTGTAAGATAACACAGTGAGGTGAAATTTTATTTAACGCTTATTCTTAGCTGCACTCAGCTGTACTTTCAATGTGATGATCTATATATCTAGTGATTATTATAATTTTTGTTTTATGTAAGATATTATTTATAACCAGAAATGTAAACAGTTTTTTGGAGAAATATGAAACCTACAAAGTTTATGTATTAGGATCTTAAATCTAATTAGATTATTTAGATGTAATCGGACTTACAGCTGAATCTACTGTAATTTTGGATAGTGATCATATATTGTGGCATTATTTTAGATATCTCGGGTAGGTGTCAACATTATTCAATAGGTTATAGGTTGATGTGATAGGTGGAATATTGATATGGGAAAGAAACCGATTTTAATATTTTGGTTGTAGTCCCTCGTATTATCTTCTCTCATCAGTATATGAATGTACACACATTTATTAATTTCATTTGTTTATGTTTATTCAAATTATTTTCTATATCTCCGAAACATTACTGAGTTCAGAGTATTTAAGTAAAGTTTATACATTATGTATCATTAACATATCGTAATAAATAAATAATAAATTTTCATAAATTTATTCTTGCTTAATAAAAGGAATTGCACTAAATTTCATTTTACAACTATTTTGATTTTTTGTATATTACAAAATCACACATACAAACTATTTACATACTTAAGCTAAGGTACGAATATGTGTTAATTAAAGTAATTAGTGTGAAAGGACTAATCAGACCTGGAAGTTCTGTCAGAAGGCCTTTCGTCGTTGGAGCAATGCATACGCAGGGTGAAACTACTTCTATCTGGTACCAATGTGCCATCTTCGTTGTGATCATCTTGTTCTACATTGATGTCTTCATCTGATTGCGTGTTATATGTCGATGCAGGTGATGGAGATGACAGCGTTGATGAACTGTTCAAATTGTGGGTTGAGTTTGGTGGCTTACAATTAGCAGCGGCAACATATTGACGTGCAAAACTCAGAGCTAGTGCGGCAGCAGAAGCCGATGCTGCTGACATTGCACTGTTAGTCATCGTTTTGAAGGCACTATGCTCACCTCCCATTAATAATGGAACTGATGCTGTGTGTGATGCAAGTGCTGCCGCTGCTGCTGCTGCGGCCTGTGGATTCGTCGATTGGTTTGTGACATTCACGTTGTGATTCAATTGCGTGGTGTGAGTCGAATTGCATAGAGAAGGGATGCCTTGGAGTTGGAAAGGATGACAGCGGAGTGCTTGTGATTGGCTGTTGTCGATAGGGATGATATTGTCTAGTAGCGTTTGTGACTTGTGATTGAGGTCGAGGGTTGTGACAGAACGATTTGGTAGCAATTGAAGTGTTGTAAATGTAGCGATTTGTGTGTTGTCTTTGTGGTTCAGCGATTGTTTCGAACTCGGGTCGTATTTCGAGGCAAGTTCTTTCATATTCATTGATATTTTTTGCGCTAGATGTTGTTGTTGGTGATCGGCTGGTGAATGACGTTTTTGCACTATTGATCCCACCGGTGATGCTGAGCGTCTTTGTTTCAGGAGATTTACTCGTTGATGGCGTCGCCATTTCGCTCGTCTGTTGGAAAACCAAACCTAATTGATCAATATGAAGAGATTTTTTGTTAGTTTATAAAAGTGTCTGTTCGGCATTTAAACTACACAATAACAGTGAAGTCATCTGCTCATCATAAGGAATAAAAATCTGAATCAAAAGTTAAAATTTGGGGAACATTTATAAATAATCGGAACTTTGATAAAAATGTTTCTATTTACAGATTTATTTTAGGGGTTATTTTGGTAAGTTTTCAAAATAGAAACTTAATGAAAAGAAGTCAGTAGGAGTAAATTGAAGAAATTTATAAAGTATTTCGATTTATATGAAGAATATTTAAACATAATAGTTCTAAATGCCGTTGTAAAACTTTTATTTATTATATTTTAATAATCTTGTCTGCTGGTATTAGTACATTCGTGCTATTTAATATTAAAAATGCAAATTCTTAACTGCTATGAATTAATAATATCTAAATGATCGATTTACTGGTGGAATTATTAATTAAAGAAGCAATCTTTTTTTAAAAGAAACTTAAAGAAAGAAATCATTAAGGATTTCTTCTGCAATTTATACAAGACAAATGGCCTAAAATGGCCCTAAGTTGTATTTTATGTTAGTTTTAAACGGAATTATTCATCAAGAATATGGAAATTTACCTGAACTCTAGCCTCACTAAGCGATGTTCTTGCAGCCAATTTTTCCCGGGTGCTGACGCAAGGATAATGTGACTTTTCAAATTCTTTTTCAAGTTCCTCCAATTGTTCTGAGCTAAATGTTGTGCGATTTCTACGAAATTTTGGCTGATCACTATCATCTGAATCAGTGTCTTCGCCTTCTATATCTGTAATAAATAAAATATGACAGTAATAGATATAATAATGCTATATAATTCATAATAATAATAATAAAATGATCGTAATCTCATATACGATATATGCATAAGTATATATATGTGATTTATTATTATTTTTTTTAATATTTGTAAAGATTTTTTCACATTTATTATTTAATACCTAAATTTTTTTTTATTTATATAACAATTATCGCATTGGAAGGCAGGCAGTAGTATTATATGTATGAATAAGAAAATTTTGGATAGATTTTTGCAACAAGATGTGAACAAATAAAATATATCTTTATGCAATTGAGAATAAACTTCCTTAAACTAACGTTGAAAATAATTAAAAATATATTTTACAAATTAGGTTAATTCGTGCTTTTGGGGTTATAGATAGTTAAATATCAGGGACATAAGCCCCTTGTGGAGAAGAGCATTAAAACTATATTAAAGTTTGTTCAACTAACTTCAAATGAGGGGAAGACATTATTCAGCTTTTTGAATAAATATCAAAAAATTCTTCCTTAAAAGGTGTCTTATGTTCCTTATGACCAAGAGTTTTATCCCTTTTAACTATATGCATTATCTTCCTTGGTGTTGGCTTTCTTGGGTCGTTTTTTTCAGAGTGTAACGCTAGATTAAGGTGAATTGTATACATATTAAGACAAATAGGTTGGAGTGGCGGTCTTATGCCCGAAGCTCAATTGAACTCAAATAATGGTCCGTTCTAATTGAATAATAATAAGTAAAATCATTATTGTTCTAGCAGCACCAAGGAATATTATAGAAACTTGTAATTTTTATTTACTTTTGTTTTTATAATTTCATATCCAGTACTTAATGTGCTTGTAAAATAATATGTATGCATTTATTTTAAAAGAATTTTCTAGTTAAATTAAATGTTGTTTGATATTTTCGAGGCACGAAATTTTACTCTAAAAATGTCTAGTCGCAGTTCTTACATTGGACACATCATTTCACAACCTGATAATTCAGAGTCTCTTCGGACTAACGCTCGACCTCTACCAAATATAAATCGAAATAAAGGAAATTTCTTTAAAAAGGCATACTTGAAAATGTGAACTTGCTTAAGTGAACACTGGATCACTTTTTTTTGTACTCAATACGTAAAAAAAGTTCTTAAAGAGAACTTCAAGTGTTTGAAGGAGACATAAAAATTAGTTTGCTTAATTGTTCATTCTCGAAATCATCCAGCTACGTGTATATATATAGTATTTAAGGTAATTAAGACTTCATTTTTTCGAGGGCTTGCGTGTACTTACCAATCATTCTGTTAGCATCAGGTGAGCCTAAAGTATCACGACTACCGGAGTCTGGAGATAGTGCTGGTAAGGATGTATTTAAACTCGTTGCAGAACTGTTTGTGGGAAGATTATGCAAACTATTAGGTGTACCTGCTGTTGGTTGCCATAAGTGTGCGGTCATTGTAGGTGACCAAGTTGGAAAACTAGTATACGGATGGGTAGGATGAATGTAACCATAACTTGCTGCTCTTGCAAATTCAGCTGCTGCTCTTTCCGCTGCTCTGTTCCGCAAAATACGATTTATTGAGGAAACTGATGGCGCTGTTGCGTTTGTGCAAACGCCTTAAATAAAAAACTTTAATTAATAGAATAAATACTCACTTGAAATAATAAAATAAAAAGTACTTTGAACGCAAAGTCCGCTTTCATAACTTTATTTCATTTGATACAACTAAAACACATAAGATCACAATAACAGAAGGGACAAACTTATTGCTAGCAGTCCAATAACCTTAATTGAGCAGAGCTGACGATCTTCTTGCATGGGCAACTCTGCACAGAACAACAGAACATCGCTGCCTTTCGGAAGTAAGAGTCAGTGAAGGCAAATAATCAAGATTAACGTGATGCAATCAAGTACCAAAGTACGAAACTGTTTCAGTGAGGCTAACTCAAAGGCCGAACAAATTTCTCACGGGCGTACGCATTAAATGCAAAATTAAATTTAAATACGTTTAAATAGTAGTGCCATTAAATAGCCATCTCCCTAATCTGGCTGTGCCTCAAGCACGAGCAGATTAGCAAAGCAATCTTTATTTTAAGCTAATTTTTTATTTGTACGTTTGGTGTGCACTCGTTTCGAATAGTGTCCGGATGCTAATAAATTAAACAATCGATAAATCGCAGAGCGCAACATATATTGCATTAATGTAAATGAGAAGTATTATTTGGAATATACAGTTTATCGATCGGTCAGTCCTTTAGACATCAAAGAATGAATGGCCACCGTGACGTTGAGGAGGGCATGTCAGGTTCTGTCAGTAACAGGTACGACTACAGTTTCAGCATTGACGACAGCTTATACAGTAATAGCGGCAGCAGCAATTGCGTAGCGTAGTTGTATTTATTGGCAATTTGGTATGAATTGTCTACTTAATGCTGCGGACGTTTAGTTAATTACGAATTAAATTTAATGAGTTTACCTTCGGATATAAGCCGTTCACGTATTTCCCACGCAAATATTGTAGGATTTTCTCTTTTGTACTGTTCGATTTTGGAGACAACGGCTGGTGTTGCTACTTTAGGCTTTGATCCGCCGATTAAGCCAGGTGGTCGAAGTGTTCCTAAAATACAAGAAATAGGATTTCCTTTAATTGTAATGAAAAAACAAATAACAAATAACAAATAACTAGAGAAGTTAACTCATTATGGACAACATATAAATATTAGGGCCCAGTTTATATAATAAACGCAATAAAGGTTATTTGCGCAACGACAGCAGAAGAAATGTGCCAAAGTATTGTATATCTTAAGACACTTATTTGTAAATAAGAAAAAAGAAAAAAAATCTGGGCAACTTACTAATATTCTTACTGTACAAAAGAGAATGTATGGCAGTTTTGCCATTCTCTTCAAGAACTGGAGTATAATCTATTAAAAAATCATAATAACAGAAAAAGAGGAAAGGAGCAAACACAGAAATTTTCAAGAATTACCAGGTGTACCGGTATGAAGTGAGCGTAAAGATACAAATGTTCCGACAGGGAACATTTGTTGTGAACGAGCCTTTTTTTTTTGTTTGTTTGCTATGACATGTGTGAAATATATTTAGTATACATTAAGTCATTGAAGAGACATCATATTTTTTCATCGTGTTAAAAATGTCGAATTTTGTACCAGAAAGTGATGATTTGCGGAAAGCATTAATTTTTTGTTTTTATTTGAAGAAAAGGGGCGCAGAGTCGCATCGAATGCTTGTCGAGGCATATGGTGATCATGCTCTATCAGAAGCAACATGCAAAAGATGGTTTCAACGGTTCAGAAATAATGATTTTGATGTGAGAAATGGAGAACGTGGAAAACCGCTAAAGAAGTTTGAATATTGTTATCACAATTGAAGCGAAATAATTTTTAAAATTTTTTCTAAAAAGTAATAAAGAATAAATGCCATTTTTTCTTTTTTTAACGATTTAATATACTTGAATATAATTTACAAAATATCTTAATCGGTAGTCACGATAGACAGAGTTGTATTTCCTATATATATGCGACAAGGTGTGAATCTAAATTAACCATAGATGAACAAGCAGGAACTTATTTCATATGCTTATGAGACAAAGAGTCAAGCTAAATGATCAATATGTAAATAATACAGAAGTTTATTTCACATTAAGATAAATTTTATTCCAGAAATAGAGATATAGTAAGTATCAGATAAAGGAGCCCTGCCAGAACATCTTAATAATTGCATAACTAAAAAATAGTTTATGTCCAATGTCTAAATCTTAATTCACCATAAAACAATAGTACCTTGTAGAGAAAATTGATGAAATGAATTAATTTTTAATTGGGTGAACTTTTGTGATAGAGTTCACCGACGGTAAAACAAAATGATGCTCGTAAACTCCCGCAACCAAACTTCACATTCCGAAACAGTAACAGTCTTGGTACCTGCCATAAAGGCTTGAAACCACGGTGCTCTACAAGCATATGTATCAAGATAATAATTTGCCCCATTGGAAATTCTGATCAATTTCAGCCGGTTCCAATGAAGTTATGTGTTTTGGAGTTTTATGTGTTTTCTTCTTGGGTTTATGCGAAACCCACCAATACCTCTGTTGATATTCGGGTCACAGTACCCTATAGTGAACACGCAACTACACGCCGAATGAATAATAAACAAATACCGATAATTCTTTCCGCGTAAGTTTGGGTTTTAACCATAGCCACTACGATTCTACCAACCATCACTTGGGCAGGACAACCGAAGCTGCGGGCACCTGACGTCCGTATACCTGTGTCAAGATAGTATTGTTGTATGGCAGTGAAACCTGTCACTACAAATACAATGCTTCGTAAACCGATGTCTCAGACACAGTGTCGGCATCTTTTAACCACGATTTCAGAACGAAACCCAAAGGAAAAAGGAAAATAAAGTAGAATTACTATGTTCTAGCAAAAGCAGGAATGCAGTTGTGGTCCTTGTGAGAATGTATAGGATGAAATATGAAATATTTCTCTATTACAATTTACTCCGAGGAATCCTTATCAGTCTATAACTTCAGTAAGATATGGGATGCATAATATACTCATAGATCATTAATACCATATATACCGTAGTGATAAAGTACTTCTATTAGGGCTAAAAATTGTACTACCAATCACTTAAAATATATTAGTTAGAATTGGCGAAATTGAAATTTAAAAATACATCATACAAACTAGAAGTGACATATTTTTTAAACATATATTACAACATAAGTAACAAACTGTATACTAGTAAAAAGCTTTAGTTAATAAACACCTATTAAAAATAAGAAAATTAAATTGAAATTAGTGCTTCTAAAGGTAAACTTTTTTGGGTTAAATGGATCAAAATTCTTATTTCTGCTTTAATATAAATCATAACAGGTCATGTGTACGTTTTAGATACCTCTTTGGAGATACGGCAATATTTGTTTTTAACAAGTTTACTCTTATTAAACAGTGTCATCTATTTCGTAATTCTGAAAATTAGCGCTGAAGAATCGCTGAATTTTATTTTAATATGTTATTTAAATTTTCCTAATAGGAATGAAATACATCATCCGTATCAGATAATTTCGATATTTCACTGGCAGATAGCAGGAAATAGCTCGGCCATAACTTGAAGAATGCTCGTGTGGAAAGCTTTGAAATTTTAAAGATTGTATGCAAAAACATAATCCTTTGTGTAACCCCATCTGTTTGTCAGTTCACATTGCAGAATTTATTTGACAAAGTCTAGAACTGGTGGTTTGTGTCATATTTGTATCAGTTTTGAAAAAGCACTGGTCTGTCTCACCTCTTTACAAAATGTTACACCTTATAATTATTTCTTGTGAATGCAATGCTCTACCGACGGTTATTTGAAAAAACAAATGCGACAATTTCGTTTGTTGACATATCCACCAATCGACAAATAAACCTCATCACTGAAAAAAATTCTGAAGAAATATCGTCAGCTTACCGCTGTTGCTAGTCTGTGTTGTAGGTTCAGCGATTATTAAATAATTTATATTGTTAAGTTATGATCATTATATACTAAATATATGATGTTTTAATTAATAGTTCAGTTTAACATATGTCACTGAAAAGTACTGTTAAATCGGGACTACGAAATAAATAACTATTCTTATGGTTATATGGTTTAGTTTGCAATATCCAATGTAAGGTTTTTTTACAGTGTTCTTTCTAAATAAACTAGCTAGCATTTAGTGCTATGTCAGTGAATTAAAGATAACTATAAATCTGGTGTATCACTGCCGTTTAATATTTTTAAAATATATTCTCAAATAATTTGAAAATCAACTTTTTTTGTTTCGTAATCTATTATTTTTTTTTGTTTGCAATCTATTTTACAGCACAGTTTTATATCACCGACTTTTGTAATAGCTTATTGAATCGCAACTCAGTAAAAGTATCACATATTATATATTATAAATGAACCATAACAAAATTATAACATGAATTTTTTGTAAAAATATTGCTTTACTTTTTTAAAACCTCCTAACAATAAACGTTATTAAGTCTACTTTCAAACTAATGTTTTTCTAGTTACTAGTTGTCACACCGACACCGACACCGACTGATACGATATTTTCTCTGATTTGCTTACAGAGATTTGTATTTACTCAGGTGAGTAGACCAAGTGAGTTACCAAAGTGCCCCGAACTGCCCTACCATCTTGCTATAGATGTTAATCCGTCTAATGTGATACAATATCGTCTTTATATAAAATAGAGCCGACTTTTTACCACATTAGCATAAGAAATTTTGACTTTTATTTCGCAGTTATTGTTTAATTCGCGAATTATTTGGCAGCATAAAACGATTGCTAAGATCGCAATCAACTGCTTCTTTAGGGATCTAAATGATTGTGTTTTCTATTTATTTTTTTAAAAGCTTATTGTGCGAAATTTTTAATTTATAATTACAAATACAGATCAAAAATTAAAAATGTGATTTTAACTTTTTAACAGATACCAGACTTATGGCGAATTAATTGTCTGCCCCCATCGAAGGTATGTTAACTAACCATGGAAGAGGTGTGATTTATATGATTCTAATGATATTCTTATGTTACTGCATAACTAATATTATTCAATAATTTCACTTTAACTATACTTCAATTTTACTTTGATTGAAATTATAAGATAATTTTATCAGTCTTTCTACTAGTCTCTTTGTTGAAGTGTATTCAATATATGTCCCATCTACATATGGTACAGTTTTGGGTTAACTAGGATTTGGTAATTGCATGTATGTAATCTGAATATAGAAACGAGTTTAAGCAATCGTAGTTGGAGTAGTACGTGGATGCTGTTAACTTTAGAAATTGAGTTTCATTTCATAGTTTAAACAGAACATCCGGTGGCTGTACGAATTTAATTTTCATTCAGTAAAAAGCGTTTTCAGTTAAAAGACAAATAATTGCTGTCAGCAATTTCCGATGAGTTATTATCACTACCTTATTCCCAATTCAAGTCAACAAAACCACACAACAAATAAAAATTTGTTAATATTCAAATTAACTATTGTTACACCTCAATGAAATGACTGACGGAGTGAATGAGTGAATGAATGAATGAAGGAATGAATGAATTAATGAATGCCATGCGGAATACAAGTACGTTGATACCTGTATCTATGCATGCGAGTATGAATGGATGTGAAGGTAAATAATACTGTTGCTTTTATTAGAAAAAAGTTATTAACATTTGCATTTATTATTTATTGTTACTATTGCAAATGTGGCGGCCCTGCGGCAATCACCCCGCTTATTGCATTCAAAACAAAACGAATGGGTTCGAAAATGTATCTGAGCGCAGCATAATTATTCGAGATGCATGAGAATGCGCAGCCCAAAGTAATTTTCACTTCGTTTTGTGGTGTAAAATTCGATCATTCAAACAAATTCACAAACAATAAAGACAAATAAATTCGTATTTATGTAATTAACGCCGAGCGTCGGCCGGTGTATTAAGTGGATCTAGTTTTGTTAACATTTTCAATGCGAGCGGATCATTTGCATATGACTAAATGCGGAGTGCTTCTTTCCAAACCCAGTGTGACTGCAACACTGCAACACTGCAGCACTGCAACG